TTGCCCTGTCGGGTCAAAAAAATAAAATAAAAAACAACGCTATTTGATCAACTGAAACAAATCGATCAACTGAAACAAATCGCGCCGATGAAAGTGACTGAAACAGTTTCTATCTGTCTGATGCATTATTTTGGGACTCGTGGAACAACTAAAATTATTATCGTTTAATTATTTTACTCTTCATGTCATTTTCCTTACTATATTCAAGTCAAGAAAACAAAAATGTCAATTTGATGACGGTAAATATCACACTCACAATCATATATATCAATTGAATGACATAAAAGACGTTCGCAGTGAGTTACCAAAGAACCATACATAGTGCAAAATAGGGAGCCGCGCCAAATACACCAGCTACAATTAAAACAATTATGTAGCAATTGAACGACATATTCAAGCCAAAAAAAAAAAAAAAAATTGTCAATTCGATAATGATGGTAAATATTGTGAGATGTATTTTATAATAGACTAATTTCGTTATTAAAATAAGTCCGATTGAGTTATAATTTTTCGGTTCATAATGTCAAATTTGAAGATCGGATGCGAATTTGAAAAATTTTAAGTGTTCATGGCATACTACTGTAGGTGCACAATAGGCCTCGTGGTGGAATTATGGTAGGATTCGCCTAATTGTCCTCCAATTCATTACATATACATAATTATTTACAAATAGAGTTCTTTTCTTTTCATAATTTCTTTCCATGCCAAACTTTCCTTGCATAGAGTTTTTCTTCTATGATGAATCATTTGATTAGCAGACTGGTTCCTTTTTAAAATGAATTTGGGCCAAATACAACTTGGTCCAAATGACTTTGTTAATGGGCCAGAAGTTCAACATTAGCGACCTTGGGCTGTTGGTGTCTTTATCCGGGCTTGAACAGGGTTGGGTTTTTGTAACCCATCAAGAGATTAAAAATAAAACTTCTATTATGGCTATGTGGACGACTCTTACTGGAGGGGGAATTTTCCCTCCATAACTACACTCCGGGATGATCAGAACAATGTTTTAGGAAGGTATGTGAATGAGTGAGAACACTTAGGGAGTTTAGAAAGTTGAAGGAAAACAGAGATTTCACTTCTGTCCATTAGGAACCAGTGGGAGAATCCTTGAACCGGTAGCAAATCTTGGTCCACAACAGGTTTAGTCAATACTAACCTTGAACTGGTACCACAGTTGGGAAGTGATAGCCAAAGTGCATCGAAAAAGCTTTTAACCTTCTTGAACCGGTACCAAGAGTCCTGACAGTATTAGAACTTTCAATTTTCTGTTCTAATTGTTTCCTTTTTTATCCCAATTTCTTTTCAAGTCTTATACACAAAAATTTTCATATTTTCAGAGGGAATAAGACATTCTAAATTTTATATAAACCTTTTTAGTCTTCTAGGTTTATGGATGGTTTTAAGGAAAATCAATTCTATATTTTGAGAAAACCTTTAGAGAGGAAAAATTCAGAAAATCAAAATTGATTATTCTGAATTTATTTATAAGAGCACACACATATATTCATGAGTGATTTAGTTGTGTTGTTTTCTATTTCATCGGAATTAGAGCTATATTGAAGATTCAGAAATTCCGGATGAAAAGCGATCATACTTTGAAAGGGTTGGAGCATTCGAGGAGTGTTGTCTGATCTACCTGCTACTCTTTCACAAATATCAAGCATAAGTCTAAGGTCAAGTTACGGTTAGACGGAGAGTTGCAAAGCCAGATGATTGTTAGCAATTGGTGTTTGGTAGAACGATAAGGTATGAGTCAGAGTCAAAGTTCGGTCTACTTTGTTTCAAACATAGTGGATCAGTTTACTTTGGACTGAATAATCCATAAGGTTTTTCCCATGACATATTTTATTAATTAGGATTTACTTGCTAAAAATCCTGGTACAATCTCTCTAAACTTAAATTATTTTACTTTTTAGTATTTATATTTATGATTGTGGATATTTAATTGATCATACAATTTAATCAATTATAAATTAAACAAGTTGATCTAATAATGAGATCTATGTCATTAAAAAAGTTAATCACAATTAAAATTAACTAGCTATTTCCATACCCGTAACTCTATTTTCACAAATATCACTCTCACAATCATATATAACAACTGATCCACGTATGGACAATATTATTTGATCAACTGAAACAAACAATATATGAAAGTGATCGAATCTAATACGTTGATTGGGAACAGTGCATCAAACAACTAAAATTGTTTTTGTGATCGAAATAGTTTCTAACCATTTGATGCATTATTTTGGAATTCTTGTAGGTACATCTCACGACAGTGCTTTAACAACTAAAACTTATTGTGATCGAAACAATTTCTAACTATTTGATGCATTATTTCGGACTCGTGTAGGTACTTCTCACAACAGTGCATTAAACAACTAAAAGATGTTGCGGTGAATATTATGTAAGGATAAAAGTGATTGAAACCGTTTCTTAACACTTTTTTTTTTGGGACAAGAGTAGATCTCACAATTATTGTTTTTTACAAGACAAGAAGTGTTAGAAGTTAGATTAGTAAATACACAGAGTCAAAGTCTGACACTCTAAAATTCACTAAAAACACTAACCCATTGAACTATCGAGACATCTTTTACCAACAGTTAATTGTTTAACTCCCCTAATCATTTTTTTTACCTTAATAAAGTAAAAAATAGTCAATTTGATGATGGTAAATATTACTGTCACGATAATATATATATATATATATATATATATATATATATATATATATATTGAATGGCATATATAAAGGATATTGTGGTAGACATAAATTAATGTAGGCATAAAATTGAGTTCATGCATGTCATATGAGGGCTTTTGGCTTGACCATGCACGTGTGGTTACACATGCGCACTGAATGCAACCATTACGCCAACATTGAGTGATGGAGTTTCAGTTTTTGATGGGCCACAGTCATTGACTCTATCTCAAAAGAAAAATAAAGTTGTTCACACATTAATACTTGTCTAGGTGTTCTTTACTTTACTTATCTTTTTCTTTACATCTGAAAAAGGTTATTCCATACTATATTCTTATACGTATCTATCTGATCACTATATTTATATTTATATATTGATATATTTAAATTAATATATTGAACATAAGTTAATATTATAAGACAATTACGAGCAAGTAAATAGTTTTATAAAAATTAACAGCTGTATATGAGAATTATTAAAAAATATAATTGAGTAATTATTATGTATAATTAAAATAAATCTAAAATATGGTTATTTTGATGTTGTATGGGAGTCTAGATTCAACTCTTCCCGCCCTTCTTCCTCCCTTTCTCGTAAGGTAAAAAAATTAATAACTATTGATGTTACGTTTGAGAATCTTGAATCAATATTTTGAAATTACCACTCATACACTTACTTTGTTCATTTGAATACTCAAACCCTCATCACGGACAAAGTCATGTTTTAGTTTTAAGGGAGCACAAAGTAGTATTTTACAAATTATATACCTATATGAGTGAAAAAAAAAAATTCATTTCTAAGGGTATTTTTGAAAAAAAAAAAAAAATTAGGAGGGCACAAAATAATATTTTACAAATATTATATCTATATATATAATAATTTCAATGGTCCAGCGTGGGCCGGGGGGCACGTGCCCCCTGGGCCAAAGCTGACTCTATTTCTAACCTCTACTATCTACTTTGGGAGGTAGATGAGATACTACTGGAGCATAAGGCCCTTAATAACGATTTAAAATGATTCGACTTATAACTTACATTTGAAGACAATCGAAAAATTTCAGTATGTGAAGAAGAAATGAGATGTTCGAGCCTATGCAAGTCTATCCCTTTGTCTATTCTATATTTCAGTATTCTCAACTTTTGTACCAAAAATACAAAAATCATAGCACTTTTATACAGTGGGTTATAATAGAAATTTAAAACCAGATCCAAAACCAACACGACCAACACCAAGTAAAGAAAAAAAATTTCAGTCATAACTAACCAAAAACCAAGTCGAGTTATAACTGAATCACAACGCAATTCAATTTGAAAGAGAATTGAGGTCACAACTTAACATTTATTCAGACTGAGAAATTAAAAATTTAAAATATGATGTTGTTCTCATGATACTTTCACATAACATGTTTTTATTTATTTTTATTTTTATTTATACAATAATATGTTTAAGTTAATTATTTCAAGAAATTAACCACAATATTCATGCCTTTTTTTTTTTTTTTTTGGTGCGACTATTTTTGTGTATTCTCAAATTTTGTACCAAGAATACAAAAATCATAGCACTTTTTTATACACAGAGTTATAATAGAAATTTGAAACAAGATTCAAAACCAGCACAAACAACACCGAGTCAAAAATTTTATCAGTCGTGACTAACCAAAATCAGGTCAAGTTATAACCTGATCACAACACGTACAATCCAATCTAAAAGAGAATTCGGATCACAACTTAACATTTTTCGAGACTGAATACTTAAATTATTGAAAATTTAAATATGGTCTTTTCTCCTAATTCTTTCACATAACATGTTTTATTTTTTTATTTATTACCATACAACATGTTTAAGTTAATTATTTCAGGAAACTACAGTATTCATGCCCTTTTTTTTTTTGTGACTATTTTTGTGTTTAAAGGTGTAATCGACTCGAAGTTAAAAGTCAAAAACTTAAACTTAAATTCTTTGCCTAACAAAAATAGATAAATTTCATTTTCCCACAAAATGAAAAAAAAGAGAGGCAAATTTTAACTTTATGGCACCTACAGACGCAAAAAGGAGTAATTTATATGTGATCTTTTTTCATAGAAAATTTCCATTTGAAATTATATTAAAAATATCAATATATATGATTGAATTTTTAAAAATCATTGTTGTTCATTTTGTTTTGAAGTCATAGACATAAAGGTGATTCCATACAAAATAAAAAAAGGGCAAGATATACATCTACTCTTATCTCTAATTATACACGCATAAAGGTCATCATAGTACAACCCCAACCTGATCCCACTCGAAAGCTAATCTCCCACTAAAATATACTTAAAATTGAGAATCCAAAGAAACAGTGTCCTTTGCCCCCCACAACACACAACACAAACATCTGGATTTCTCATTCTTGAGTAGAGTAGATATAAAGCTTATATCATTCTAACCCCACTCTCTCTCAAGTGAAGCTACTACACGTTCATACCTAGCGTGACTCTCAACCACATTTATACACATATATACATATATGTGTGTGTGTGTAATTGATGATTATAAAAGTGGCCCTCCTTATCACTACACTCAATCATTTCAAAAACCCATTCCCTCAACAACCTCACAGATCCCTCCTTTTGTGTACCCTTCTATATGCTTCTCTTCCTATAAGTACACTCAACACTTGTGTCCTAACTTCCAAACAACAAGTATAATATTTCATAGAAAAAAAAAAAACAAAAAACATTGAGCCATGTCCATCACAGGACTTCCAGACACAGATAAGATCCACAAGAAATCGTTCCACCGGTGGAACGATTCAGGTGAGCTCGACGTGTTTGAGGCTGCACGATATTTCTCCGGTGCCAACGAAGTCTCTGCAGGTTACAATGGTGCACCAAGTACTTGTGCACAGAAGGTGTTGAGATCAGGTGGACGGATTAGCTTAGACGTGCCGATGAGGAATTCAATTCCTCCTCAAAATCTTGTGATGGAAAAGCAAATGATGAAGGAGAAGAAGTACAAGCAACCAAGCTCACCAGGTGGCAGACTCGCTAGTTTCTTGAATTCTCTCTTCAACCAAACATCTTTGAAGAAGAAGAAATCGAAGTCCACCACACAGTCTATGAAGGAGGAAGATGAGAGCCCGGGTGGGAGGAGAAAAAGGAGGAGTAGTATTAGCCATTTTCGAAGCTCGTCCCACACTGATTCGAAGTCAATTTATTCATCGACAAGCTCTGGTTTTAGAACACCTCCTCCTTATGCACACACTCCTACAAAGACCTACAAGGACTTGAGAAGCTATTCAGATCACAAGCAAAAGGTTTCTTTGTCCAACTACAACAACAATGGACATGTTAAGTCCACTGTTGTACAAAGTACTGAGGTATGTCAAGACAAAAGGGGCGTAGATCATGTTTGGTTAGATGAAAAATTCAACTTCTCCAATGGATTTTCCGAGAAACACAAGAATTTTGTTCATGGGTTTTCCGAGAAAGTTAGGATTCAGGCTGATAAATTTCCATCAGAGGAGAAGGAATTTGGGAAGTTTGATGAAATTGATGATGGTGCTGACAGTGATTCAAGCTCTGATCTGTTTGAGTTGCAAAATTATGACTTGGGTTATTATTCTAGTGGTCTACCTGTTTATGAGACCACACATATGGACAGCATCAAGAGAGGTGCACCGATTTCTAGTGGTCCAATATAGGACTACTCTGTGTGTGTGTTTGTGTGTACATATGAATTACTACAATTTGTTTCTTAGTTCTTATTGATGTTTGGAGCTGTGATAATCAGGATAATATTGCATTCTTGTCAAGACATGGCCTTAGATTTTGCTTGCTTCTTTTGAATTTCATCACAACTTTTCTATGTATGTACAGTTTGGAATGTTTTCTTGTCTCTCTCCTTTATTTTTTTTTTCACCTTTACTTAATTTTGGAGCTATATGGAGTGCTGTAACACCAGAAATCCACCATTGAAGCAACTTGATTAGTTTGCGCATGATTGCAGATCCTCCACTAGATTAATGGGGAAAAAAAACATGAACACCCATCATCACAGCATGTGAACTGCATCCTTTGAACTTTTGACTTTTGACATTAGCAAATTGCAATAATGGATAAAAGTGTTCATAAATCTAAATCTTGCATAATGATCAAAACCTAATAAACAATTTATATTTGTGTCTATACACACACACACACACACACACACACACACACACACACACACACACCTCATTCTTGCATATGTTGGAATCACTTAAAAAAGTTTTTTTTTTTTTTTCCTAGGTAAATACTTAAAAAAAGTTTCTAGTATTGCACTTTCTAATCTAGAGCAAAAATTAATTGATTGGTTGATGCAATGGAAAATGGAAAATGATAAATACATTTTTCATTTTTTGTAATTGCACTTCTTTTTTGTTTTTTCTTAAACTAAATAATGCAAATGCCACTTGTACTTGATTCTCTAGAATTGAATTAAAGATAATAATGTTATTTCGTATGTATATATATATATATATATATATATATATATATATTCGGTGCATTTATTAATATCTGTCTAAAAGAAAGATGAATATAGAAAAGTACATTTATTCTAGTATCTCAATTAGTGATCGATAGCAAAAGATAAAGCCAAAACAATTAGGTCCAACCAAAAATAGTTTGTGTCCTTGGGAATAAACTAAGGTCCAACTTTTTAAGCAATAACATTAGGAGAAAAGGAAATCTAACACGATATTTCTTTTTCTCAATTCATATGTACATAAAAATAGTTTTGTACTTTCAAATCTTGAGCAAAAAAATAATTAATAGGTTGATGTAATGAAACACATCTTTGTCTAATCCAAGGATCAGCATAGGAAAAGTATTCTTATTCTAAATTTTGGTGGTATCACACAGATAATGCCAAAATAACCAGATTCAACCAAAAATAATGTGTGTTGTTTGGGATTAACTACGGTTCAACTTTCTAAGCAAATTAATTAAATAATATTAGGAGAAAAGGAAATCCAACACCATGATATTTCTTTTTCTTTTCTTAATTGAGTCTGTGTCCATCTTTTTTAACCACAAATATTATTATATACAATTATTTTAAAATCAAGATTCGCATGTCCGGAAAGAGATGAACTCGTGAATTTTTACTCATTATTAAGAGATTTTAGCCAACCCAATTATCTTGATATGTTTCTTAACATGATGACTAAGATATCTTTAGAAGATTTTAGACGCAAATAGCTAGCGGTATAGGTCCGCATACATACAGGGCGGCTCAACTGCCTACCTAAATGATCGCTTTAAGGCCTCGTTTGGAGAAAGACCCCCTTATTGTTATTACTACTATTATTTCTTCTTATTCTTCGTTTTTATTATTATTATTATTTTTTTCCTTAATAACTTTTAATTTTTTTATGTGGGTCTCATTGTAGGTTTTATGAACTCCAATTTTTATGTGGATAATTTTTTCTGTAAAAAAAAACATAATGTCACTTTATCCCCTTCTTTTTCTCATGTAGGTTCTTCTTAATTGCAAAAGTTATGAATCTAACCAATTTATTTGATTTGAAAAATTCAAATTCTTGAATTTATATTTATTTTGAGACATGAAAAAAAAATACCATTATAACCACCAAAAATATGAAGTTACAATTACTAGCATTTAAAATAATTAGTAATCTCTCCCATGAACTTTACTTTTGTTATTGAAATAATTTTAAAGACTTTCCATTATAAAAATTGCCCCACTGAGCCCACAAGAAGTCTGTCCCGAAGCCTAATGGTACTTTGGTTCCTGCAACTAATGGTACTTCTCTCTCCTTTTAAGGAAGAATGTCCAGAGTTCAAATCCTAATTAATAATAATAGTAATAATAATAATAATAATCTTACACTATTTTTAACTTGATTGTACTATATATATATATATATATATATATAAATATAAAGGGTAAAGTGCACAAAATTGCAAAGACATAGCAAGTAGCCCCTCAAACTACTTTTTAGTGACATGCGACATAAAGTTGAAGTATTATTCATTTTTTCCCTTTTAATATGTTAAAAATGTCTCTCTTTCAATTGTTATATTAAAGATAAATTACACTTACCACTCCTGAAATTTGGACAAATTATACATATGTAAACCATTCAGTGTTTATTACATTGACCTCCCACGAGATTTGGTGCGTATGGTCAGCGACAACCCTAGCATTTTCTTTTGACAAATCTGTCCATAAAATTTTATAAAATGATAATTTTACCATTCTCTTGTATAAAATGCAATACAATATATTATTTCATGATCTTGAGCTTTCAAATATCATTACAAATCTTAAGCATTTATGGAAGTCGTGTTTGAGAAAAGACAGTTTTTTGGTGGCCCGGTCTTATTGTTATCTTATAAAGGGCAGAAGTATTTGGACTGTTAAGCCAACTGTTCTCAGTTCTAGCTTTTGGAGGAAATTGCTAAGGTTAGGAGGAATGGCTAGAGGTATTATCAAGTATAAGGTAGGGAATGGGACTGACACTAGGATGTGGCTAGATTTCTGGCTTCCAAACGGTCCCTTTTAAAGCAATTAGGGCTAAATAATATGCAAATTCTTCAGACACTTATGCCACATTTGATAGCCTAATTTTCAATAATCATTAGATGGAGCCCCTATTAGTAAGCTTTCCATAGTTCTTCCAATCATTAGACTTCATTTCCCAGTTGTACTCTTTACCTCCACCTTCTAAGGAACAAGATAGCATAAAATAGTTGCCAAGTCCTACTGGTTGTTATTCATTTTCACACGCCATTACATACTTTATACCTTTATCTCCAAATTTTTCCTAGCATAAGTTAGTTTGGTTTTAACACCACATACCTAAACACAATTACATATCTTGGTTAGTTATGAAGGGAAGAATCTATACTCTAGACTCCAAACTAATGCTTCATAAAAACTATGTTAATAGGTGTTACATTTGTTTTACTGAGAGTGAGTCTATGAACCACTTATTCTTTAGGTGCAGCTTCAATTCACATGTATGGAGATTTTGTAAAACAAGAGTTACGCGAGTGTGGAAACAGTTGATTTTAATTGTGATTAACTCCTTTAATGACCTAGATCTGATTATTAGGTCAATTTGCTTAATTTATGATGATTAAATTGCATGATCAATTAAACATCCACAATTATAAATATAAATACTGAAAAGTAAAGCAAGTTAAGTTTAGAGAGATTGCACCAGGATTTTTAGCGAGGAACCCCAGTTGATAAAATACGTCAACTGTTATGGGAAAAACCTCGTGGACTATGCAGTCCAAAGTAAACCAATCCACTATATTTGAAACAAACTATACCGAACTTTGACTCTGGCTCACACCCTATCGTTCTACACCACACCAACCGCTGACGATCCTTTGGCTTTGCGACTCCCCGTCTAACAGCAACTTGATCTCAGGCTTATACTTGATATATGTAGAAGAGTAGCAGGTAGATCAGACAGCACTCCACGAATGCTCCAACCCTTTTTAAAGTGTGATATCGCTTACTTTTGTTCTTCAAGATCTGAACTCGATTGTAGAAGAATTAAATCCTGCTTCTCATCTGGAATATTTGAATCTTCAGTATAGCTCCGATCCGATGAGATAGAGAACAACACCACTAAATCACTCATGAATATATGTGTATGCTCTCATAAATAAATTCAGAATAATCAGATTTGATTTTCTGAATTTTCTCTCTCTAGAAGGCTTTCTCAAAATATAGAATTAATTTTTCCTCAAGCCCTCCTAAACCAATGTATATTGATAAGGTTTATATAGAGTTTTGAAAGTCCTAATCCCTCAAAAAATATAATAAATTTTGTGCATAGGACTTAGAAGGAAGCTGGGATAAAAAAAGGAAACATCAGAAGAAGGAAACTGGAAACCTGATGCATCTAGGACTTTTTGAACCAGTTCAGCCATCTTGAACCGGTTCAAGATGGACAGTAAGGAATCCCACGGATTCTTGAACCGGTTCAGCCCTCTTGAACCGGTTCAAGATGGTCAGTCTTGAAATTTTAGCATTCTGATGTAGTTGAACCTGTTCGATAGATCTTGAACCAGTTCAAGATGGACATAATGTAAAACCTTGTTCCGAACCTTTCAAACCCTTCCTAAGTGTTTTCACTACCTCTCAAAACTTCTTATAGCGTTGTTCTCATCATCTCGGAGTGTAGTATACCATGAACACTTGACCTTCTTCAAATCCGCATCCGATCTTTAATCTTTGAAATTTGGTACTGAAAAATTACAACTCGATCGGACTTGTTTTGACATCGAAATTAGCCAATTATAAAATATATCTCACAATCTTCCCCTTTGGTAATTTCGTGACAAAATCCTAAAAACAATTCAGCAATCTACCCAAGAAGGAAAGTACATTACAACGATTGTTATAGGAAATAACATGTGGACAATTTCTTGAACCTCATGAAGCTTTAACACATATAGCAACCTGTAATCTGCACATTAGCTCAAACACAACTACCTGTGAAGCTTAATCAAGAAAATAAACACAAGCATAAAATAGCAAAGCTAATAATACTTGAATGTCAATGTACTGAACAATAGTTCTCCCCCTCAATGCAAAAAGTTCTTTTCCCCTCAATGATAAGTATCACAACTCTCTCCCCCTTTTTGTCACAAATTGACAAGGGTCAGAAGGAAGAAAAATCCTAGAAGTAGGAAGCAACCAACCATATAAATCTTGTAAATTAAAACCAATAAGAATGTAGACTCCACAAGATTATAGGTATCAACATAAATGATTGATGAGCGCTGAAAAGTACACATTTAAACCCCTTAAGTTTGAGTATTCTAGGACCTTTATCTATCTTATTTACCCGTTTTAGT